TCTTGCATTTTTAAACTGTGCTTTTGGACTTTCAGGGTGGTAGGCGCAGGCACGTGGCCGATACTCTTCTCCTGCCGCTGCCTGCTCCCGGGCCGAACCGGGGGGGGTGACGGTCTGTATCGTATCGCACCCCACAGAGTATGGGGCCGACGGTATGCTAAAGGCGATCATCGGGTCATAAAGGAGGACACTAGCCATAAGGCCCCCCCCCCGCCCCCCATCATCAGCACTAAGGGCTTTCTCCCTTTAATGGCGGCCCTTACAGCCTATGCGGCCGGCACGACCTCGGGGCATACTGTGTCGCCGGCGCAAGCGGACGAGCGCCGCCAGCGGCTGCGCTGATGGGCGGCCGACCAGTATGAATATGGATGAATGGGAAAGCATTTGTGACCTGGGCGACGCGGTCTCGGGGGAGGAGCAGGTCGGGCGCGAAGCGCGGCAAACTCTCGTGCGGCCGACCGCGCCGGTGGGCAGGGCTGCTGCGACGGTTTCTACAACAACAGACCACCGGTCCAGTCCCAGCCATGCACGGGCGGCATCGAGTTCTTGCATTACCGAACTCTTTGTCGCTTGCCGCACCACCCGTCTTACAGCTATAACAAAACCAATCGCCGCTAAATGAGGGATATCTAATTATTTACCTATGCAGATAAGCATTTAGCTATTTCGCTACTTCTATAGATACATCGCTACATTTTTACCCACCTAGCTTTAGGACTAATTATTTTTTGCCTCGTAGCTAAATGTTTAGCTACATCTTAGCTAAATAATTATAATTAGTTATTCTCTATGGAGCCAATGTTTAGCTAAATAGCCGATCTTATTTTCTGTGTGTTTCCCGTCCCCCCCTCTCTCCCCCTCTCTTTTGTCACTTCCGCCGTCCCGCCGATACACACAGTCCCTTAGAACACCACCGCTGGTCCGCTGGTTGTGATTTACCGCGGCGCACGGAAAAAAAAGACTTTGTTGTGGGGATCAACTTTGGTCGATAGGCAAAATTCGATAGCAGAAATCGAGAATCCGATGCCCACAGCCAGGAGCTGGTTGTCAAGACCGGACACTTGTACGAATAGAACAAACCCCAGCTTAGTTCTCATCGTACAAGGGGGTGAATCCCTTACGTCAGCTGGACAGCGGTTTCGATCACTTCTCTGCCTGGCATATCGCCGATGTTCGCTTGTCCAGCTGACAGTCGCGGTT